GATATTTCTGCCAGGTGGCTCCTGAGATTCTCATTGGTGACCCTGATGGATTGCAAACCCTATGAAGACTGTGTCTACGACTGCAGCCACCACAGTCTTGGCCCTGAGCAGTGGACACACACTCCTCCATGCTCTGTGAGTGCATTTAGTTGGCCCCTGAACCATGAATGTTTTTCCTGGAAACCTAAATGCCTATGACCCCAGTGAATCCTTTTTAAAATAACTTTACTGAGATATAATTCACACACCATACAATTCACCGATTTAAAGTGTGTGATTCAATAGTTTTTCATATACTCACAGGTTTTTACAAAGATCACCACAGTTTTAGAACATGTTCATCACCCCAGAAAGAAACCCTTTAGCTCTGAGGTTCCTACCACCTAACCCTCTACCACTCTCAGCAACCATTTATCTACTTTCTGTTTTTATGGATTTGCCTATTCTGAATATTTCTTTTAAATGGAATCATAAGTATGTGGCTTTTGTGTCTGGTTTCTTTCACCCAGCACAGTGTTTTCAAGGTTGATCCATGCTGTAGAGTGAACTAGTACTTCCAGTTGGTATTAGGATTTTGTTGTTGTTTCATGGATGAATAATGTGTCATTAATGGATACACCACATTTTATTCATTCATCAGTTGATGGACTTTTGGGTTGTTTCCTCTTCTGGGCCATTATGAATAACACAGCTATAAACAACCATATACGAGTTTTTGGGTGGATTTATGTTTCCATTTCTTGTGGGTATATATCTAAAAGTAGAATTGCTGGGTCATATGGTAACTGTATGTGTAACTGTTTGAGGAACTGCCAGATTGTTTCCCAAGGTGGCTGCACTATTTTTCATTCCCACCAGCAATGTACGAGTGTTCCAATTTCTCCATATCCTTACCCATACTTATTATCTGATTTTTTTATTATAGCCATCCCAGTGAGGGTGAAGTGGTTCTGATTTGCATTTCCCTGATGTGTAATAATGCTGAGCATCTTTTCTGTGCTAATTGTCCATTTGTATATCATCTTTGAGAATGTTCATGCCCTTTGCCCGTTTTAAAGTTGGGCAACTTATTTTTTTATTATTGAGTTGTAAGAGTTCTTTAGAGATTCTGGGTACAGGTCCCTTATCAAATGTATGACTCGCAAACACTTTCTCCCATTCCATGGGTTGTCTTTTTACTTTCTTGGTGGTGTCTTTTGAAACACAGAAGCTTTTAATTTTGATGAAATCCATCTCATCTATTGTTTCTTTTGCTGTTCACAGTTTTTTTGTTTTGTTTTGTTTTAAGATTTTATTTATTTATTCATGAGAGACAGAGAGAGGGAGAGAGAGAGAGAGAGAGAAGCAGAGGGAGAAGCAGTCTCCCAAGGAGCAGGGAGCCCGATGTGGGACTTGATCCCAGGACCCCGGGATCATGACCTGAGCCGAAGGCAGACGCTTAACCATCTGAGCCACCCAGGCACCCGTTGCTGTTCACAGTTTTGGGGCCACATATAAGAATACATGGCCAAATCCAGGGTCCTGAAAATTTACCCCTGTGGTTTCTTCTAAGAATTTTATAGTTTTAGTTCTTACATTTAGGCCTTTGATCCACTTAACTTTTGTATATGGTGCGAAGTAGGCATCCAACTTCATTCTTTTACACGTGGATTCTAGTAGGCCCATCACCATTTTTTGAAAAGATTATTCTTTCCCCCAATAAATTGTCTTGGCCCCTTGTTGAAAATCAGACCACAGATACATGGGTTTATTTCTGGACTCCCTATTCTATTCCGTTGATCTATATGTCCCTCACTATGCCAGTGCCACGTAATCCTGATTACTGTAGCTTTGTAGTAACTTTTGAAATCTGAAACTGAGTCCTCCAACTTTCTCCTTTCTCCCTTGCTTCCTTCCCTCTCTGTCTCTTTTTTTGCTTAGGTAGTGTAAAAGGGAGAAGTGCAGGGTGGCTAAGTGGCACCTGTTACAATGGCTTCTCTCTTTTAAAATGTGGCTTTGGCCATTCTGGGTCCTTGCAATTCCTTGTGAATTTTAGGACCAGCTTGTCAGTCCCACAGAGAAGTCAGTTTGGATTCTGACAGATTGTATAGAATCTGCAGGTGAACTTGGGGACTATTGCTCCCCGTGGAGCAATAATAAATAGCTTTTCCATTTATTTAGGTCTTCTTTAATTTCTTTCAAGAGTGTTTGTCATTTTCTTGGGGCGCCCGGGTGGCTCAGTTGATTAAGCATCTGCCTTCGGCTCGGGTCATGATCTCAGGGTCCCGGGATCGAGCCCCGCGTCGGGCTCCCTGCTCGGCGGGGGGCCTGCCTCTCCCTCTGCCCCTCCCCCGGCTCGTGTTCTCATTCACTCTCTCTGTCTCAAATAAATAAATAAAATCTTAAAAAGTAAAGTTTCAGGACATCTTGCCACACATTCTGTAGAGTGTTCCAGGGGCATAGATTTAAGCAACAAGCCCAGGAACTTCCGAAGGAATGTCAGAATGTTTCTGCGGGGTCTTACAGAAGGTAGATTTAGCAGTGTGCATTAAGGACTGCTAGAATGTCTGTTTTCAGGGAGAAGAATCAATAATAAAGATTTTTGTAGGTATCATGGTCAACATCACTCATCTTCAGGGAAATACAAATCAGAACCATGACGAGATATCCCCTCACACCGGTCAGAATGCCTAAAATCAACAACACAGGAAACGACAGGTGTTGGCGGGGATGCGGAGAAAGGGGAACCCTCCTACACTGTTGGTGGGAATGCAAGCTGGTGCAGCCACTCTGGAAAACAGTATGGAGCTTCCTCAAAAAAGTTGAAAATAGAACTACCCTATGACCCGGCAATTGCACTACTGGGTATTTACCCCACAGAATACAAACACACTAATTCAAAGGGATACACGCCCCTCCTATGTTTATAACAACATTATCTACAATAGCAAAGATATGGAAGGAGCCCAAGTGTCCATCGACAGATGAACGGATAAAGAAGATGCAATACACACACACACAGAGTGGACTATTACTCAGGTATAAAAAAAGAATGAAATCTTGCCATTTACAGTGATGTGGATGGAAGTAGAGAGTATTATGCTAAGCGAAATAAGTCAGAGAAAGACAAATATATGATTTCACTCACATGTGGAATTTAAGAAACAAGCAAATGGAAAAAGAAAGGAAGGAAGGAAGAAAAGAAGAGAAGAAAAGAAAAGAAAGAAAGAGGCAAACCAGGAAGCAGAATCTTTTTTTTATTTTTTTTTAATATTTTATTTATTTATTTGAGAGAGAGAGAGAATGAGAGATAGAAGCACGAGAGGGAAGAGGGTCAGAGGGAGAAGCAGACTCCCCGCCGAGCAGGGAGCCCGATGCAGGACTCGATCCCGGGACCCCGGGATCATGACCTGAGCCGAAGGCAGTCGCCTAACCAACTGAGCCACCCAGGTGCCCAGGGAGCAGAATCTTACCTCTAGAGAACACACTGATGGTCGCCAGTGCAGGGGGAGGGGGGAACAGGTGATAGGGATTAGGGTTAAGGCATGCACTTGTCCTGATGAGCACCAGGTGATGTGTGCAAGTGTTGACTCACTCTATTGTACCCCAGAAACTAATATTGTGGTGTATGTTAACTACACTGGAATTAAAATTAAAAACCTAATAAAAAAAGGCTTATGCAGTAGAATTATTTGTCTTTGGGAAAACTGGAATCAATTTGCATGCCCAAGGATTGGAAGAGGCTCAATGAACCGCGGCACACGCCTGAGCCCGAGCCCGGCAGCCACAGTGAGCGCTGTTCTCGGAGAAGGGTGGCCGGAGGCCATCCCGCAAGAACACAGGGAGGACGTAAGGACAAGGAGGGATAAGGCTGCCACCTGTTGGTACGTGGCCCTGGAGCTAAGAACGGATTTTACATCTTTAATGGTTGAAAGAAAATCAAAAGAATACTGTTTCCAGGCATGCCAAAAGTACACGAAATTCAAATATGAGTGTCTGTGAATAAGGTTTGGTTGCTACGGGTCCACGTTTGTTTCCGCGTCGTCTGCGGCCGCTTTGCCCGCGTAGCGGCTGGGCTGAGTTGTTACAACAGACGCGAGACACGGCCTGCAAAACCGGAAATGTGTACCCCCCGCCCCTAATAGAAGAGGTTCGCGGACCCCTGGTTTATAAAACGTGGGGAGAAAGTCTTCAAGGCAACACGGAGCTTTGTATTATGACTAACAGTGCGGTGAGAGGACTAGAGGTTTCTAATCTTACATTCACTTTTCTGTAGCCCCATTCTTTCTCTGCAGTGAGCGCGTATGGCTTTTAGAACAACAACAAGGGTAGCAGTTTTCGATTAAAACCTTCCCCGCACCCTCCCCCCAGCTTCTGCGGCCCTAGGGGTCTTCTCCCCCATACCAGTGCTCATTCAAGGGCACCGTCCTCAGGAACCCAAGGGAAATGGGCTTTCAGGCCCCGACACAGGAATCCAGGAGCGTGAAGCCACATGTCTGGGCCGACCCGCCCTTTTGAACCCGCATTTACTGTTCCCAGAGATGCTGTGCCTGTTTTAGCCCTGGCCTCCCTGAGGGCCCCCCACCTGGGGAGGCTATCCCCACAACAACAGTGGGCAGGAGGCCAGGACCCACTGCTCCCTACCAGGGAATGGATGGGTCAACTTGGCAAAACCTGGGGGACCAGCCGCCAGAAGACGCTCCTCAGTGAGGGGCCAGCCACTCAGAGCAGCGGGCACATCTGAGGGGTGGGCAGCTGTGGAAGGTCCCTATGACCCGGGGACAGGTGTTCAGAGAAGTGGGCCTGGGGGAGGAGACGGAGAGACAAAAGGCCAGACCCTCATGGGGGGGTCTGCGGAGGGGCCCCTCAGAACCCCCTAAGGTAGAAAGCCATTGTCTGGCCCACCTAAGAGATGAGGCTCAGAGCTGGTCAGCTCCTCAGAGGCAGACAAGCACCTTGGCCTAGGCCCTTTCCTCGATGGGCCTGCCTGGGGTCTCAGTGCTTTCTCTGTGTCCCCCCAGGTGTCTTCCTGCCCCCGTCCCCTGCAGCAGCAAATGAGCCTATCCTGGATGAAGTGGGGATTATAACTCTGGCGCCCCTGGCCGACATGCTGAACAGCCCACAGCCCAGCCCCGCAGCAGGCCCCATCGTGAACACCCTGATGGGCCCCCTCAACACGCTGCTGCCTGGCCCAGGGTCCATGTCACAGAGCATCCCGCTCACCAGCTTCCTGACCAGCCCCCTGAGCAGCCACCTGCCTGGCCCCATGGCAGTGCCTCCAGCAGGCACACTGACCAGCTCCCTGGGTCTGCCTTCAACTGGCCCCCTGAGCAGCCACCTGACTGGCCCCATGGCCGTGTCCCCAGGGGGCACACTGACCAGCTCCCTGGGTCTGCCTTCAACTGGCCCCCTGAGTCCAAGCAGCCCCCTGATGGCCCCTATGACAGGCACAGTGGCCGTCTCTCTGCACAGCCCCCTGCTCACCTCCACGGCTGCTCCTCTAGGTGTTTCTCAGAACCTTCTGGCCAACCCCATGAGCAGTCTGGTGCTGTTGGAGGCCCCGAGGGTGCGGCTGTCAGAGCCGCTCCGGGGATGCCCCTCCGGACCCCATCCCTCAGCTGGAGCAGGGCCTGCCGCCACCACCAAAGGTAACTGGCTCAGAGGGAGGGACAACAGCCTCCCTCCCCGCCACCAGGCCAGTCCTTGGTCCCGCTCTGACCCTACTTCTCTGCTTTCTGCCCCACCATGTCACTAGTCCCAGTCTCCACGGAGCATCCCCAGCCGACCCGGGACCTGGAGCCCTTCAGCATGACGTTGGTGGCCTCACCCATCCAGGCCTCCACCCCTATCGGGACCAGGGACACGCCTGGCCCCATGACCACCTTTTCCTACAGCAGCTCAGACACCCAGCCCCGGCCCAGTGCCCCTCAGGGACAAGCAGTTCCTGCACCTGTCCCCACCACTCCACCTGTCTCTCCAACTGCCACAGTCCTTGCCCCTATTCCTACTCCCGCCCCCCAAGCTACCACCAACGACATCCCCTCGAGCACCACCCACATTGTCCAGTGCCCCCCCCAGTCTCCCACCCGGGCACACCACTCCCCCACCCAGCCCTCACCCACCCCCCACTCCCCTCCACGAAACCCCCACTCCCCGCCCCGAACCTCATCCTCCCCTGCTACAGTCAACCACACCCGGGGTCCACGTGGCGCAGAGACATCTCGGAAAAGCATCCTAGAGTTGGAACGGAAGCTGGCCCACCGAAAGACCAGCAAGTTCCCTGAGAGCCCCCGAGGTCAGTGACACAAGGCCAACACCGCGGGGGGGCGGGTCTCCCCTGATGCCCTTGTGGACCTCCCTGGCACTAGCCTGGGCTGCTGACCATGGCCACTGACCACTCCTTCCACCCCTTGCTTTCCCCAGAGTCAAAGCAGCTAGTCTGGGAGAGGCTGGTGGGGGAGATCGCCTTCCAGCTGGACCGCAGGATCCTGTCCAGCATCTTCCCTGAGCGCGTGCGTCTCTACGGCTTCACTGTCTCCAACATTCCAGAGAAGATCATCCAGGTGTGTGGCACCCATCTCCCACTCAGAGGGCCTGCCCCTTTCACCTGTCAGGGATGGGGAGCATGCTGGCCTTGGAGGAGCTGCTGAGGGACCCTGCACTCCAGCCTGGCCAAGCACATCAGAATCCGAGGACCCCCTAGGATGGAGGAAGCACGGTGTTCAGTCCAAGTGGCCAGGGGCTGTCCAGGGCATCTGGCGTCAGGAGCCTGTGGCCTTAGCCACATGCCCTCCCCAGAGGACAGGGCAGGGGAGAGTCCTGAGCATGGTCAGGCCTACACTCTCCTCCTTTGCCACTGCGATGGTCTCCATATGGCCAGCCCTCACTCCCAGGGGCCCTCCCCAGACTAGCAGAGCTGATGCTTTCCCCACCCCGTTGGTACCCTCAAGGGTCACTGGGGTGGCAAAGGGGAGGCAGGTCCCAGAACCTCTGACCAGCTGGTGGCCTCACGGCCAGGGGCCTCAGGCCCAGGCTCATTCCAGTATATTCTTAGCATGCCATTCACTGAGCTTGCTTCCACTGAGGGACACAGAGGACAATGCTTCCCAAAGATGCTTGGGAGCGTCTACCTTGCCACCATGCATGTGAAGCTCTCCAAGGCAATGGGGGGGGGGCAGTCACAGGATATGGGCTGTGCTTGGCTGGATACCCAGAAGCAGCCATCCAGAATGATGGCATGTGTGCCCCTCTGCCACCAAGGTGCCAACTCTGGGTGGGACCCCATGCCTCGGGGTGGAGGAGGTGGGCCATCTGGGCTTTCTTTGGGAAATAGCCCTCAGTGCTCCCGGCCACTTTCTCTCAGGCGTCTCTATCTATAGATTATAGACCTGGTGTATGATCCGCAGGAATAACTTCTATTAGAATGGGCTCGTTTGTATCCAGGTTTGAGCTTGCCTTTTCCTTTGCTTAGGGTGTCCTTTGGTTGGGTTTTTAATCTTAACGTGGTCAGAATTATCCACTTTTCCTTTATTGCGTGTACTTCTCATGTCTCACTGAAGGCTAGAATGGTAGAGGGCAAAGGGGAGCTGCCCAGCCCTGCCTCAGTCCTCCCTCCTGGGCCCACGTGTGCGGGCTCTTGGGACTGCCCCTCTGACCCTCCCCAGCCCACGGTGTCCTCCGCGTGGGACGGCGACAGAGCCTGGGCACCTCTCTTCTTCCAGACTGTCTCTGCTCCTCTGGGTCCTTCACTCCTCACTGTGAATTTTAGGATCATCCGTCAACCTCCAGGAAAAACCTAGTTCAAATGTGTAGTTTTGCATTGCCGGGGAAGTTTCCCATCTTCACAGTGTTGGTTGTTCCTACGCACCTGCCGTTTCTGTTGCTCATGCTGCAGGCCCACCGTGGTCATGTTTGGTTTGATGATCCTTGACTCACATCCAGGGACCTCTGCCGCCACTGCTGTGTCATAAGCACACATTGGCCATGGCTATTTAAAAACTGGCAAACCACACAGTAGAAGCACAGTATTATGTCTCTAAAACGTTACGTCTGATTTCCAATTGGCAGAGATTACATTTAATTATAAGCACAAGTCTACCTGCCCACATAGAAATTAGATATTAAGCAGTAAAAGAGGTTTTCTACTGTTTGAAAATGCCCGTTAGAAGGTGATAAAGACCCATCAACCACTGATGTTGGCTGGCCAAGTCTGCTGACTCCAGGGTCCTCTTCACTTCCCCTGAGGTTTGGTGTCTATGCTGCAGAATGTAACAGTCACAGCATTAAACGGCAACCCCTGGACAAGAGGCAGGAAGGCGAGAGCGGGATGTATGTAAGGCAATTTTTTCTGGAGTCTTGAGGAGGTCAAGGAGCTCGGCACCCCCTTGGCCAGTGCCTCGGCCGCCATCTTGGCAGCCTGGGGGGTTGGGGAAGGGCCTGTGGCTTTCACCAAACACTCATCTGCTCATTCTGCCCCATGGCCTCCATCACCACTTCCAGAGCCACTGGCCCCATTCACCTTCCATCAGCAATGACCAGTGCTGCCAGGGGCCATACACTTGCCGCCCAAGCTCCCGAGAAGCGGCCCCACTGCAGCCCACCTGCACAGAAGTTGCCTTCGGGGCCGGGCAAACACCACCTGCCTTGCCCTCTGTAGAGCCCACTGCAGGTTGATGATGTCTGGTTCCACCTGAGGAGCATAAAGATGCATCCTGCTCTTAAGGCCATCCATCCTGCCTGCTTTGCTGGCCCATTGGCTGGTTCCTATCAGCATCCAATTCTACTTTGCCCAAATTTCTGTTTCCCTTCCTCAGAACATCTTGTTTTTCTGCACATTGAACCCCAGCATTGGTTGTTGCTAGAATCCCTCAATTCTGTCCAAACCCACTAAACCTGGTCAAACCTGGTGTCCAAACCTGGCTGGTTGGCTTCGTGAATGCTGTATAGGTTGATCACTGAAAAGCTTTAATAGAGTCCCATTGCTGAATGAGGACTTGTTGACTATTTTCACTGAATCTGGCCATCTTTTTTAAAAGTTCACAGTTACCTATGCCATCTTTTAAGCTCACCTAAAAGTTGTCCCAATGCCCCAACCTGTCACCTCTTTTACCCAGTTGCAGAGGCCTTCTGCTGGGGAGCGGGGGTGCTCCCAGCCTTCCATTCGCTCCCAGTCATGGCAGACCAGGAGTTCAGCCGCACCAGTGTGAGGGTGGTACCTGGTGGTGTGTCCAGCTGGGTCCTGGTGCCCCTGGTGCTCTCTGGGGCCTCATTCACTGGCCTGCCGACAATGGTTTTGGGTTTTGCCTAACAGTTTGTTTCCAGCTACCGTGCCAAACCCTTTCATCTTGGCTTTACTATGTAGACAATCATATTGTATACTATTTAACAGAAGCAGACAATAGGGCAACCTCACCCTGCTCCTGACTCGACTAGGAATACACACTTCAAATCTGTGTTAAGTATGATGTGTGTTCCATGCTTTTTGCCAGATCTTCAAGTCACAGCTTTTGGCTGCAGATAACAGAAACCACGCTAGCTGATGTAAACAGAAAGAGATTTCTTGGGCGCCTGGGTGGCTCAGATGGTTAAGCGTCTGCCTTCGGCTCAGGTCATGATCCCAGGGTCCTGGGATCGAGTCCCGCATCGGGCTCCCTGCTAGGCGGGGAGCCTGCTTCTCCCTCTGCCTCTACCTCTCTCTCTCTGACTCTCATGAATAAATAAATAAAACATTAAAAAAAAACTGTACAGAAAAAAAAAGAAAGAGATTTTTTTTTAAGATTTTATTTATTTATTTGAGAGAGAGAGAATGAGAGCCAGAGAGCACGAGAGGGAAGAGGGTCAGAGGGAGAAGCAGACTCCCTGCTGAGCAGGGAGCCCGATGTGGGACTCGATCCCGGGACTCCAGGATCATGACCTGAGCCGAAGGCAGTCGCTTAACCAACTGAGCCACCCAGGCACCCCAGAAAGAGATTTCTTATAAATGTTTAGGCGAGGACAAAAAACTGGGTACAAAAGTTGGTACGGGGTCACAGCCACTGCACTCTGCCAAAAACCCGAGGGCACCTGGCCCCCAGGCATCGGCTTCCACCTGGGCAGAAGCCACAGGAGAGTCGAAAAGGCTTTCGGCTTCGGGAAAGAGGCACTAGGACAGAAGCCAGATGACCCGCTTCAGCATCTGCCACAGGTTAAGAAGTTCTTCCTCATCCTCATTTATGGAGAGTTGGGGGGGGGGGCTTCTGAACTGTGAAGAAATGCTGATTTTTTTTTTGAAGTTTTTTATTCATTTATTTGACAGAGAGAGACACAGTGAGAGAGGGAACACAAGCAGGGGGAGTGGGAGAGGGAGAAGCAGGCTTCCCGCTGAGCAGGGAGCCCGATGCGGGGCTCGATTCCAGGACCCTGGGACCATGACCTGAGCCGAAGGCAGACGCTTAACAACTGAGCCACCCAGGCGTCCCTGATTTTTTTTTTTTAGAATGTTTTTTCTCTTTCATTGAAAAGATCACATGAGTTTTCCCTCCCTCCCTGTTCTCTTAACATCTCGAGCTACAGATCGTAAACCACATTCATCCCTGGTGGTTTTAATGCCCTGAGATGCTGTTTGCGGCTATTTATGCCTTCTGCAACTTCGCTATTTCTTTAGAGAACACGCCCAGAAGCTGTGACAGAAAGGCAACCAGGTGTCTTTTCCCATCGGGCCGTCGGACTCTGCGGCCCAACCCCTAGCAGCGTGGGGTCGGGAGTTCGGGACTCGGCCCAGAGGCGGAGCTCACAGCCTCACTCTTACTCCATTGGCTGGATCTTAGTGACGTCAGGCCTCTAGGCAGAGGGCGGGAGCGCGGTCTCCGCCCGGAGCTGCCAGCGCAGGGGAAGGCTGAGTTTAGGGCCTATCCTCCATCTGGTCTGAACGAGCCCTTTTGTTGAGTCTTAGGATTTTTTTGAGCCTTAGGATACTGTTTCCTCCTTTCTGCTTATGTCTTTCCTTCTGCTTCCTTTAGATTGGCTTTATTTCTCTTTCTTGGGCTGAGCACTTAAGCTATTTTACTTTACATGTCTTTTGTTGGTAAGTACGTTTGGGGCCAGGAAGTTCCCTCAGGTCGGCGAGATACGCAAAATATTTAACCGGCGGTGCGTGGGGAATCCCAGCCGGGGTGGATCCTGGCAGAGGGAGAGGGCTCTGCTGTTTGCGCGCGGGCGCGGAAATGCGGCAGTGCCCCCGGGCGTCCGCCCCCGACCCCGCCCGGCTCCCCGCGGCGCTCGCGCTGCGCTCCCGAGGTGGACGGGGAGGTGTCCAGGTCCACATATTTCACAAACTGCGTTGGAGTTCCTCTCTAACCCCCGAGTCCGTTAAGGTGAATCTCCAGTCTCCATCATCGGGGGCACATTCAGCTGTCCCTTTAGTTCAGATGTCTAACGCACTTGCCCTGTGCTCTAAGAACGAGGGCTGAACCACACCGATTGTTACATTTGCCGCCATCTCCCTATCACTGAACACGTGGCCAATGTCGTGGGTGTTCCAGAATGGAAAGACGGGGTGGTGCGCACCTGTGCTCCGTCTCTTGGAGGTGCGTGCATATTTGGTCACACCTGTTCTGTCCTCCACAGCTGATCCAACACAGGGTCCCCTGCTGATTCTCCCTCTACAGATGTTTCCCATGTACACATCTGCATCTACAGTCGCCTACCCCTGGACCAAACTGCTGCCACTTTACTGGTCCACAGCTACCCTCCCCCTCCATCTATTCACTCCTATTATGGGGCATTCAGTGCATGCCAAGTTCATACAAAATAGACAATCTCTGCCCTCGGGGAGCTCACCCATTCCCCGGAGGCCTTCAATAAATATTTGTGCTAGAGGTTCAGGGGGTGATACATGCTATGAGGGGCAGGAGAGTTTGAGGGTGGGAGCTAGGCACTGAGTTGGCCTTGCTGTCTCCCCACCCCCCCACCCCCACACACCTATACTCTGGCCAACTCCAACATCCTGGGAAAGCCCCTCCCTCCTCTATTCCTTTGAAACACAATTCTGCTCAATGTGAGAGCCCATTGATGTGTCCTGTGGAAATGGTGGCCCCCTGTGGTGGCGCAGACCAGCACAGATGCTGTGCTTAGCACCCCCTAGAGACATTTCCTTTCAACTTCAAAATAGCTGTCAGGCCGTCTGGTTTCCTTCATATCATAGCAGGGAAACTGAGGCTCAGACCCAGTACGATGACAGAAGCAGCCATTGAAACCGGCTCTCTGTGTGGGCCCCTTGCTCTGCACTCTGCCTCCTGGCACCTTCCATGCCGTGCGTGCTGTTCTTTGTCCTGGAAGTGCCTTTGCTCCTGTTGCCCTCATCCTTCAGATGTCAGCCCTGCCATCCTCTCCCCTCCAGAATGCCCCCCCCCAGGTTGCCTGGTTGCTCCCCACGGCAGCACTCACAGCACTCCTGCTCAGCCTGGTCATCACTGTAAACCCAGAGGGCTTTGCTCACACTTGAATCCCACCACCTGCTACAGTGCCCCACACGGGGGGGCAGGGGGGCTGAGAATATCTGTGGGATGGATGCACAGAACCCTCACCCTCTCTCCCTAGCTTCTATCCACCCCCTTATATGGTCAGCATGATCTTTTATTTATTTTTTATTTTTTTATTTTTTTTAAAGATTTTATTTATTTACTTGAGAGAGAGAGAATGAGAGATAGAGAGCACGAGAGGGGGAGGGTCAGAGGGAGAAGCAGACTCCCCGCTGAGCAGGGAGCCCGATGTGGGACTCGACCCCGGGACTCCAGGATCATGACCTGAGCCGAAGGCAGTCGCTTAACCAACTGAGCCACCCAGGCGCTCCAGCATGATCTTTTAGAACCACAATGCCAATGGACCAGAAATCTCTGACCCTTTAGGACAGGACCCTCCGCCATGCTCTCTGCTCAGCCCTGCCTGCTTCTCAGTGCCTGGAAGGTGTGGTAGGGACCCATTCCCATGGCTCCCCGGCTTCAGTGGGGTGCCTTCCCGCTCTTCCCCACTCAATCTCCTCGCCTGTCCCTCCACTCTCAAGGGGTTACCTCTTTGGGGCGGGCCTGGCCTTGTCTCTTAGTGTAAATGCACCCGCACTCCCCTCCCCGGTCCAGCACCCTGGCAGGGTGGGTGCAGTGTGCCCCCTGGAGGACTTCTGCTCCTGTCTGGAGCTCCATTCACCCAGTGCAGCACACAGCAGCTCAGCCACAGCCCCACGGTGAGCAGACGACGGGTCCTGACAGCCTCACGGGGGGCCGACCCTTAAAGCTATCCACCCGCTGCCCTCGGGCCACTCAGCAGCACGAAGGCTCACCTGCTTACCCACAAGTGCTGGCTGAGCTCCTGCAGTCTGGCTGACAGGGGGCACGGGAACAGGCAAATGGAGGGAGAAGGCTTAGGGGCCAAGAGGAGCCTAGAGTCAAGGAGACAGGCTTGTTCTAGTGTTGACTGTGCACCCAAAGTGCTGAGCATAAGGCTCTGGGTGCATCTGCCAGAGGTCAGGGGTCACTTTAGCTGAGCCCAGCCATGAGTCCAGCGCTCTGTTCACATGACCAGAGGAGAAGAGGACAGAGGACTTTCCTGGAGAAGGTGAGACTAAGCAGTTTGTTCTAGCGGCTTAGGAAGCAGCCTGGTGGGCATCCAGGGAATCGTTGGAAGCAGGGGAGCAGGGCCAAATCAGGCCCTGGCCCCAAGAGGTGGGGCAGTGGGAAGTGCAGGAGGGCTCAGGCAGGGAGAGACCCCCCTCCAACCACTTCAGACCTGTCAATCCGTGGGTCTGGGCACAGCTGCACCCGTGACAGCTACATCATTTGAAGGACTCCGTGCAAATGAAAATACGGGCTCCTTGCTCAGCAGAGCATTAGCTGGGTGTGGGTCCTTCTGAACAGGGGGCCCTGAGTGAATGTACAGGTCACATGCCCAAGAGGAAATGGCAGGAGTGGACGCTGCGAAATGCAGTCACTGCCTGGTTGGGGGGCACAGGCATGAAGAAGTGGGTGGACACTCGCCCGGTTGCTGCCAGTCCCCAGGTCCAGGTACCAGGAGGGGTCACCAGAGGGGCAGCAGGACCCCCAGTGCGGAGACCAAGGGTGCTTGGCTCAGGGCCTGGGGCGGTCGGTTCAGCATGAGGGGAGGACAGGGCCTCTCTGAAGGAGGGGTGCAAGTGGTGGGCGCTGAGAATGCAGTGCGGGGTGGCAGAGAAGGGACCTGGAGAGGAGGTGGAGGTCTCAGGGCAGGGAGCCAGGAGGGCACCTGGGAAAGCCCCTGAGTGGTATGGGCCAGACACCCCCATGGCCATCAGGGACCCCCTCCTCTTTCCTTCACCTCCAGACTCCCAGCCACGCTGTCAGCATTTCATAGCCTCAGCTCAGTCCAAATTCCCTGCCGGTGGGTGGAGCAGGCGACAGGGATGGGGTCTGGGGAACTGCCCCCTCCAGCTCAACCCACTAGGTTCCCCCTGCCCTAGACACCTTGGAGCCTCTCCCCCAGGACGTCCAGGACACCTGCCCCCACCCACAGCCACAGCCCACAGCCACATTTGCCCCTCTCCTGGCTGTGTGCCAGTGCAGGGCGGAGACACCCTGACGGCCGCTCTCCCCTCAGGCCTCCCTGAACCCCGGCAACCACAAGCTGGATGAGGAGCTGTGCCAGACACTCACACAGCGCTATGTGAGCATCATGAACCGGCTACAAAGCCTGGGCTACAACGGGCGGGTGCACCCGGCGCTGACTGAGCAGCTGGTGAACGCCTACGGCATCCTGCGCGAGAGGCCGGAGCTGGCTGCCTCGGAAGGCGGCTCCTGCACCATGGATTTCCTGCAGCGCGTGCTGGTGGAGACGGTGCACCCCAGCATGCTCTCGGACGCACTGCTGCTACTCTCCTGCCTCAGCCAGCTGGCACACGACGACGGCAAGCCCATGTTCATCTGGTGACACCGGCTTGCGGCCTGGGTCCGCCCCGCCCCCCACCGGGTGCAGAGCCATTAAAGCTTCCCACAGACGCTGGCCGCTGGGCCCGGACTCAGTGGTGCTGCCGCCTGGCCTCCGGGGTGGCTGGCCAGCTCCTCACTCCCCTGCACCCCTTCGATCCTGCCTGCTCTGGGGCTCCATGCCCACCCCAGGGCCCTTGGTGAGAGCCCCAAGACCAAAGCTTGGCAGCTGTTTGGCTAAGGGCGGGGGCGGGGGGGGTCCTGTTCAAAGGTCCCAAGGCTTCCCTCACCTGGCAGTGGGAGCAGCAGAAGCCCCGAGACTTGGAGGGGGAAGAGCAGGAAGCGCTGTTGCAGCAGCATTAGTGATGTGCCCGGAGCTGAAGCCTGGGCGCAGAGTGGAAGGCAGAAGTGGGAAGGAGACAGGATGTGGATGGGGGAATCCTTCCCTCTGTACTAGCTGGGAGGAGGGGAGTGGGAGAGGGGGCAGGGAGGGCTTTGGACCCTCCGTGAAGGCAAGAGGATGTTAGATGGAGGGAAGGAACCAGGAGAAAGTAGCCTCACCTAAACCTGAGCCCAGGGGCAGCCCAGGAAGATGGGGCCAATTCCTAAGGCACTGCTGGCCCAGCAAGAAGAGAGCTGCTCCACAGGGCTCTGAGGCTGAGCGGGAGGGGCAAAGCCTACCTGCTGCAGGGGCGGGGCGCAGGCAGGATGGGAAAGAGATGGGGTGGGGGTGGGGGCTGTAAGACGGGACCCGGGGACACCGGCAGGGGGAACCTGTAGACGGATGAGGGTGGGCCTGTGGACAGTGCAGGAAACCAAGCAGTGTAGGCAGGATGCTTGTCCTTGGGAGGGTGTGTGCGCGAGACAAGAGAAGGGCAGTGGGGGGCAGCCCACAGAGTGGCCTCTGGCCCACAGCGGGAACAGAAGAGGACCTGCCTGAGGAAGGGAAGGAGGCTGGAGCTGCAATGGGAGGCAGAGGGTGGGCTGAGGAGGTGGGAACGATGAGCCCAGCAGAGGAAGCTCCTGGAGCACCAGTGCGTGCCAGCCAGAGGACTCTGAGGGAACAGAGGAATCATATCAGCAACTGGCGAGGAATGCAGGAAGGAGAGGGTTGTGAGGTGTGCCCAGGAGCTCCCTGCCTCTCTGCCCTCCCCACTCCCAGGCCTGCTACTTCAAGGGATCCTGCCAGACCCTGGGAAAGGCAGGGAAGGACTCTCCTATAGATATCTAGAGATCTATAGATAGAAATCTAGCTCTGTCTGCTGAGAAGGCCCAGCATCAAGACACACCAGGAACAGGGAACACAGCCAGCACCAGATCTCGGTTTCCCAAGGGGATCAGGGATTCCTGGAGAATTGGGAGGTGGGGGGGCAGAAACCCCTGCACCGCCCTGCCAGTAGGGCTAATGGCAGCCCTGACTCAAACTACAGGGCAATTTAAGAGCCAACCAGGAGAGCCTTGGGGTCTGGCTCACAGCTCAGATTAGAAAGGTGGGGACCCAGGCAGCACCGGAAGGAGCGCGAGGCAGCACGGTCCTGGGAACCAACGGAGCAGGTGCGGGAGGGCTCCCGGGATTGGGAGCTGGTTTCCATGTGGCTCACGTGCGGGGGGAGGGGGAGGGGGAGGGAGCGGCGGCACAAAGCCCAACCAACCGTCCCTTACCCCCAGATTGGGGGCTCCTTGGGGTAGGGTCACAGAGCCCTCACCACAGGGGTCAGGCCTCTGGGGAAGCTCTGCGGGGCGGTCAGTGGGTGGCTTGTTAGGCCGCTCAGAGTCCGTCCCTCCTCTGGGGAATGTGTCTTTGAACTCAGTTGCTGGACACTGCAACCCAGGCAGACGGGTGGGGGTGGGGTAGACCCTGCAGTCGGGGTAACAGGAGGGCCCTCAAAATTCTGCGCGGGCTTGCGGGGAGAAGGGAGGGAGCTGGACGCAGCACGCACCGCACTCCCTTCACCAGCCGGCCTGCGTTAAAAAGTATCGTTCTCCACTTGGTGCAAGCTGCACCCCAGTCCAAGTTCCCGTGGGGCAGGTCTGGGGGTTCTCCCGGCGTCCTTCAGGGGAGGGCGGGGCCGGGCGAGGAGGATCTGAGGCGTGGCTGCGAAACCAGGGTCTCTTTCGCTTTCCCTTTTGTTCTTTCCAACGGCCGGCCGCGGAAGACTCCGCGCGCGTGAGGAGAGCGCGACTTGTCGGGCGCGCTGGTTTCCGCCTGGGCCTGCGCCCCCACTGTCCCGGAGCACCTTCCCGGCTCCGCGCACAGGTTGCGCCACGTAACCTTGACCCGCGACTCCCCTGCACCTCCCGCGGACGCACCGACGAATCGATTCGCACGCAGGAAGCGGTTGAGTCAAAGGGGCGTCCCGAGGCCAAGAAGCCCCGCGCGCCATGCAATCCACTCCCGACTGGCCCCCAACGCCAGGTGCCCTACGGCCGTCTCCTTTCCCGCACCCTGTACTGCACGTCCTCCACCGCCTGGCCCGAGCCCTGCTCTTTCCGGCTTACTGGGCGCTGGACCGGCTGCTGGGCTGCTGGGCGCCGGTGGTGCGCCCGAGCTGCCTGAGCGCGCTGACCTCAGCCGCGGGGGCCGCGGCGGCGCTGCTGCTGCTGCTCCTGGTCGGCCTGCCCCTGGCACTGCCCAGCCTGCTGCTCTGGCTGCTCCTGCAGGCTTGGCGCCGCCCCTTCTGCTACCGGCCCCCTCCGCAGTACTGGGAGCCCCCAGCGCCCTGGCGCCCCCCAGCTGAGCCCGCGCGCTGCTTTGGCTTCCTCAGCGCCAACCTGTGTCTGCTCCCCGACGGGCTAGCGCGCTTCAACAACCTGCAGCACAGCCAGCGGCGGGCCGAGGCTATAGGCGCCACGCTGCTCGCCGGCCTGCGGCCCTCACGCTATGGGACTACGGGCTCCAGTCAGCCAGGGGCGGGGACGCCCGGTGGGGTGCTGATGGCCGCGGTGCCGGCAGGTCTGGACTTCGTGTGCCTGCAGGAGGTGTTCGACCTGCGCGCGGCGCACCGCCTCGTCAGCCGCCTAGCGCCCAATCTGGGCCCGGTGCTGTACGACGTGGGCTCCTTTGGCCTGCAGCCCGGGCCGCACCTCAAGCTGCTCGGCAGCGGGCTGCTGCTGGCCTCACGTTATCCGCTGCTGCGCGCCGCCTTCCGATCCTTCCCCCACGCACGTCGCGAGGATGCGCTGGCCTCCAAGGGACTGCTTTCCGCACAGGTACAGGCCCGCCGGCCGCGGCGCTCCCTGGCCGGGGAGAGGGCTGGGCGTGGGGTCGAACCGGCGAGGGTTGCTGGGGCGGTCCACGATGTTGCAGGCGCAGGTGGGCATCCTGGACGGGCGCCCCATCGTGGGCTTCCTGCACTGCACGCACTTGCATGCGCCGAGTGGTGAGCCTAGCGGACCGGATGGTCAGCACGTGGGCAGGTGCTTCTCATCCTGGCGGCGGCGGGTCCCAACCCTCGTCTGCATCTCCATCCCCCGCCCCCGCGTTTGTCCACTGCCCCAAGAATCGCGAGTCGGGTGGAGCGCCCTGGTGGGCTCACAGATCAGGGCGGGGCGGAAGGGTTGGTGGGGTGCGCATCTGGGCTCAGCCTTCCTCCCCCCACCCCCGCAGGGGACGGGCCCTTGCGCTGCAAACAGCTGACGCTTCTGCTGGACTGGATGGAGCAGTTTGAAGCCGAGAGCCGCCAGAGTGGCGAGGCCGTGGCCTTCAGCGTGCTTCTGGGTGACCTAAACTTCGACAACTGTTCTTTAGGTGAGGGGGAGGCTGCGGAGGGACGGGGCCGGGCGGCCTGGCCCCGCCCACCGAGAGCTGGCCTCTCCTCGCAGACCACGCAAAGGAGCAGGAGCACGAGCTCTTCAGCCACTTCTGGGACCCCTGCCGGCTGGGCACTCGCCGGGAGCAGCCCTGGGCCCTCGGTACGGCGCTCGGGCCGGGAGAGGTCCTAGGGAGGGCTCCGGGGCCTCGGCTCCCCCGATGACCGCCCTCCCCGCCCTCCCCCAGGCACGATGCTGAACACCTCCACTCTGCACCACTCGGTGGCCTGCTCCCCAGAGATGCTGCGGAGGTGAGTGGCGACCTGGGGGTCAGGCACCGCCCAGGACGGAGGGGAGCCCTGGCCATGGTGACACCGCCTGTCCTCAGGGCCCTGGAGCAGGAGGGAGGGCGCCACCGCTACCTGGCAGGCCCTCCCGGCAGAGGCCCGCGGGCTAAGCCCTGGCGGGGCCGGCGACTAGACTACGTCATGTACCGGGGAGTGGCCGGAGGCCCTCTGAGCCCAGTAAGTGCCAGAATTCGGGGCGCTGGGCCGGCCGGGACCGAGGTGACACCTCAACCTGACTCCCTCCCCCAGGAGGTGGAGCAGGTGACCTTCAGCACCGCCCTGGCGGGGCTCACAGACCACCTGGCCGTGGGACTTCGGCTCCGAGTGTCCGTGCCCTCCTGACGCACGCACGCACGCAGGCCGGGTGGAAAGACGGACACGGACGCAGAGCGTGAGCCTGGCCAGTTGCCACGGGGACGGGGCGACTTCAGAGCTGTTTATTGTGGGGACCCTCCCTCACACTGCCTCCTGGGCTCTGCGGTACTCATAGACGCTGCCGCGCTCAGGGAAGGCTGGGAGCTGCTGGGGCGACCCCGGCGGCTGCGGGGCGGGGTCATCCGGGTCCCCGTAGCCCCCGCCGCCCGGTGTGTGGAGGCAGAACACGTCCTGTGGAACAGAGGAGCAGGCTCAGCGCGGGCATGCCCTCCCCGCCAGCTGCCTCCCGCTGCAGTCCCCCCCACCCCTCATCCAGAGCGGCCGGCCTGGACCACGGAGGCCCCACTGCACGCCCTCTTCCCTTAAGAAACCAAATTAAATTCAATCTCTCGTTATCTTTGCAACTCTGCTCACTCTCTGTGGAATGCAGATCAATGGGAGGCGGGTGGGAATGGGAAAGATGGGGCTCAGTCCTTACCCCCGGGTACACGGGCACCGACGTCTTCCCCCCCAGATTCACCGTCCGGCCGTCCTTGCGGACCAGCAGGTTTAGGCCACGGGCGCCGGGCTCGCCCCCTGCGGGAAGAGGCCAGGTGAGGCGAGCGCAGGAGCCCGGAAGGGAGAGACAGAGGAGAGAGGCTGGCGGGGAGACAGGAGGCCACCGGCCGGAGGGGGCAGGGGAGCGGGGCTGCTCACCGTGGAGGCCGTAGGGCTGGAAGGCGCGGCGCTCAGTCAGCACGGACAGCAGCGCCTCCTCGCGGAAAAGCAGCTCGCGGACGACGCCATCGCCGCCCCGGAAGCGGCCGCGGCCCCCAGACCCCAGCCTCAGCTCGAAGCGGCGCACGATGACTGGGTACCTGCGCGGGCCAGGGACTCAGTGCGGCCCGCCGGGCTCCGGGCCCCCCGCGCCGCCCCCGCTGCTCACCTGCTCTCCAGGATCTCTGGGTCGGTGATGCGCGTGTTGGTCATGTGGCTGTGCACGCCGCTGCGCCCGTGCCAGCCGGGGCCCGCGCCCGCGCCGCCGGCCACCGTCTCGTAGTAGCCCATGTGGGCATTACCCAGGGTCACATTGTTCATGCAGCCCTGGCAGGGGCAAGCGGCATTTGCGCTGGGCTGGAGGGGCATCCCCCCCAACAGGCCCGAGGATGCCCACCCACCCGCCGCACCTGCGAGGCAGCACAGGCCCCAAAGGCCCCTAGGATGACGTCCACCACGCGCTGTGACGTGAGCACGTTGCCGCCCACCACGGCCGCTTCAGGGGACGGGTCCAGAATGGAGCCTCTAGGAATCACCACGCGCACGGGCGCCAGGCAACCCTGTGGGGGAGGGGCCAGCTCTCAGGACAGTTGGGGAACACACGTGCCCCTCCCACCAGCACCCCCAGGATCAGTCGGTTGTTGAGCTGACCGCGCCCCCTGGAGCCCCCAGGATCATTCAGGCCGCGCGCTCCCGCGCACCTGGTTGAGCGGGATGTCGCGGCCCACCAGACAGCGGAGGCAGTAGATGAGGGCGGACAGCGTGATGGCCCGCGGTGCGTTCAGGTTGCCAAATACCTCAGGCCCCGTGCCGCTGAAGTCAAATACTGCACTGCCCTGTCCGTGGGGGGGAGGGGAGGGGAGAGGTCAGCAGCAGCCAGGCAGCCACGCCTCCGATGCCCTCAGCCCTGCCGCTGCCACCGGCCAGACCTGACTCAGGTTGATCTGCACGCGGAGTCGGATGGGGGAGCCATCGTCCATGTGGTCCTCTGCTGACACCTCCAGGGGCAGGCCTCGGGCCTGCCGGGAGGTTCCAAAGGCCCGAAGCATGTCCCGCACGGCCAGCTCAGCGTTTGCCTAGCACATAGTATGTTCATCGGGCAGCCAGGCCGCCTTCCAGGTGGTGCGGGTGCTCCCCACCTACCCACCCAGCTGCCTGGGGGCAGGCACAGAGCTGCCCCCGGGCTCCTGCCCCCTCCGCCCACCTGAATATGGCCCATGTAGGCCTGCACCACATCCAGGCCATACTGCCCAATGAGTTCTCCCACCAGCTGGATGCCCTTCTGGTTGGCTGCCACCTGCGCACGGAGGTCCGAAAGGTTGTCGTGCAGGTTCCGAGTTCCACTACAGCCGGGAATCTTGCCTGGAGCCCGCAGGGCCTCAGTTACCGCTGGATGGAGGAGGTCACCACTGAGCCACCCCTGAACCCCTGGGGCTGCCTGGTCTCCTGCTCCACACCTACTTCACCCCTGCTTGGCGCTGTGTGGGCCACCCCATGTTGGCCCTTCACTGGCTCCCCAGCACCCCCAAAACCCCCAGGCTCCTCCATCTGCTCAACCTTCTTCCCACACTCCAGCCCCCCAGGGCACCCTAGACTAGAAGAGGCAGCTTTGCCTGTGACCTCACAGGAGCTAGGGGTTCCCCAGGGCAGGCAGGGGGTTCTTCCCTCAGCAAACTCTGCTTCCACCTTTAATTCCTCCTGCCCTACCTCCCCACGCCCCGCCCCACTCCCTCCTGCCCTTTCTGGGCTTTCCTCCCCCTCACAGGAGAAAAACGACTTCCCTTGACCCTCCCCCAGTCACACTGCCCCAGGGGCCCTCTGTCAACCACTGTGAAAGAGCATCAGCTGGCCCTCTGTACCTCCTGACCAACCTCCAAGCAAATCTGACCTAGGCCCCTATGCCCCCCAGGGAGCCCCAGAGGCCGAGGGAAAGCCTCTCCCCTCTTATCTCTGACCAAGAGATGACCTCTCTCTGGCAGTCACAGTACGCTCTCAGGCTCCCTGGCCACCATGTCCTGTCTCGCGCCGGCACGTGTCCCTCCCGTGATCCCTGCCCCTTGCCCCCTGCTCCCCCACCCTGACCAAGGGAGCAGCCAGGCCTGGGTCACTCTGTTTGTGTGGCAGCAGCCTGAGGCTCTGTTACCCCACCCTCCACCCTGCCCACTGCCACCCTCACTCTGGGATGCCCCCTGGGCTCCAGCGCCCCTGTACTCTCACAGCAGCTCTGAATTCTCCACTGCCCGTGTCCTGGGCCATGCTGCACCTTCTGCCCCAACTTCCCTGCAGCTGCCCTGTGTCCTCCAGAGCCTCCCTCTATCCTCTAGCTGTCCAAACTTGACTCCCCACCCCCAAATCCCACCAAATGCCAACCTTGATCTCCAAGCCAGTTGTCCCTACCCCCACTTCTGCTGCCCAGCTCAAGGGCCAGCCTCATCCAGGGCAACCGCGGCTGCCCCTCACTCAGCCTGGGAGGCCCACTCAGCCTGGCCTCTGGGCCGCCCTCCAACCCCCACATCCACTCTGCACGTAGGCTGAGGGCTCTCACGGGGTGTAGGCAGACCAGTGCAGGCCCACTAAAACCCTTCATGGCCACCCCACTACCCAGTGACTCACCCAGGCCCGAGAAAGTTCTCTAAGGGCCTGCAGGGCCTGGCCCCTGTCCTCCTGCTTCTCTGCAGCCCTCAGACCCAGGGCAGACACAGCTCAGACTAAGCACCGTGAGCAGTGGCCTACCTTGCAACAGACTCCTCTCCCTCCTGTGCGGGACACCCCTCCTCCTCCCACCCAATGCCATGGGTGTCCTGGCCAGCTCCCCGCCCCCCAAATCACTGAGGCCTTCCTGGATCCAGGCAGAGTTTGCCTCCGCTCCTCCGGTCATGGCTGAGAGATGATCTGCAACCACTGTGGGGTCGCTGCCTGGCTCCCCCGGGCTCTCGGCAGGCCTGGGCCAGTAGGCTGCGTCCCAGTGCCCCCCCTGCCCCGGCCTAGCTGTAAGGGGCAGCGATGTGTGCCAGCCCACCGAATCCTCCCTCCCGCCAACCATCGCCCCGACCCCACCCCCACTCACCCTCCTCCTGGAAGACTCCCCCCTGGACCAGTTTGAAAGACAGAAAGACAGCACCCTCCTGCTGCAGTGTGGTGGAGTGTGGGGGCATGGAGCCTGGTGTGATGCCCCCAATGTCTGCATGATGCCCACGGCTAGCCACGTAGAACACAGGCCGAGTCTGTCCCGGCCAAAACACCTGGCGGTGGAGAGCAACCATCAACTGGATCAGCCGCCCTTGCCCCCCAGAGACACCCAGGCAGAGGTCCTCACCGGTGTGATGACTGTCAGGTCTGGCAGATGGCTGCCCCCAGCACTGGGGTGGTTGCTCAGCAGCACGTCGCCAGGGTGGAGGTCAGCCCCCAACTGCTGGATCTGAAGCCAGGAGACAGTCCCGAGTTGGAAGGGGCGGAGGTGAGGGGTGGGGTAGGGAAAGCAGAGAGGGGACCCGCCAAACCTGGAACTGCACGGTCTCCTGCATGGCGCCCAGGTGCACAGGGATGTGGGGGGCATTGGATACCAGCCCCCCATCTGGCCCGAAGAGGGCACAGGAGAAGTCCAGACGCTCCTTGATGTTGGTGGAGATGGCTGTGCGCTGCAGGATGCGGCCCATCTGCTCTGGGGGCACAGAGTGACCAGGCGCCCGCTGGCCCCACCCCACCCACAGCACAGCCCTAGATTATGTAGAATAGGAAGAGGCAGGACCTTCAAGGCCCCAGGGATGGTGGTGGCTCACTTGCACACAGTGAGGCCACAGCCAGGCCATGCCTTGCTTGTGTGAGGGGCACCCCCTTCCTCTCCATCCCTGCCTGGAGCCTCACTGAGAACCTGGAGCCCCACATCGACCCTCCAGCTTGCCCAGCACGGTAAGAAGTTGGTGCTGAGGCACAGGATTCAGGGCCCCCAGCAAGCCCCCAGCCTGACCCTGCATAGATGGGTTCACTGTGCTGAGCCTGTTTCCTGTCCATAGGTCCCATGGCTACCAGTGGGAGTTAGGTACTCGCACTGCCCAGGGCCCGCTGGTGCACGGCAGCCAGCCATCCCAGCACCAGGGCCACACTGCCCACCCTTCCCCTGGGTCACACTCCGCCTCTCTCTGCACACCCCCGCCGGCCACACAGCCTGCACCTCCGTCTGCCTAGTACGCACACTCCCACACACACCTCAC